GCGACGCCAGAAGCAGCAGGGACAGCACCAGAACCCTCAGCAGGAGCACCCGCTCCAGCAGCACCACCAGTAGCTCCAGAACCTCCAGCAGCACCAGGAGCACCCCCAGCAGGACCGCCAGCGGTAGTCTCAGCGCCAACACCCTCAGCAGCACCAGCTCTAGTCGAACCTGCAGACCCAGCAGCTCCAGTACTCCCAGGACAAGCACCTCCGGGACCCGCGACAGCAGCACCCTCAGTAGCCGACGAACCTCCAGCACCAGCAGCACGGCTCCAGCGCCGGGCAAACCACTCGCGCAGCTCCTGTGGAGAGAGTGGCTCCCGGCGAGACGTAGCACCCGGAGAACCTCCAGACGGAGTACCTCCAGGCTCAGCACCCCTAGGCTCAGCACCCCCAGGCTCAGCACCCCCAGGCTCAGCACCCCCAGGCGTAGCACCCCCAGGCTCAGCACCCCCAGGCTCAGCACCCCTAGGCTCAGCACCCCCAGTAGCCGAAGAACCTCCAGCACCAGCTGTACGGCTCCAGCGCCGGGCAAACCACTCGCGCAGCTCCTGTGGAGAGAGTGGCACCCGGCGAGACGAAGCACCCGGAGAACCTCCAGGCAGAGCACCTCCAGACTCAGCACCCCCAGGCCCGGCACCCCCAGGCAAAGCACCCCGAGGCGGAGCACCCCCAGTCTCAGCACCCCCAGGCACAGCACCCCCAGGCTCAGCGCCCTCAGCAGCACCAGAGTCACCAGTGACCTCGACAGGCTTGACTGCGTCTACCTGGGACACACCTGAAGGGGCAGGACCCTGAGGGGGGAGGGGGTCGACCTGGGGGGGACCTGGTACAAGGAAGAGCGGGGGCGGGGGGAGGGACGGAGTGCGGTAGGGGAAGAGGCGGTAGTAGGGGACCGACTCGTCGAACGTGACGTCCTGGGAGGACAGAACACGGCGAGAGGTGGGGTGGTAGAACTGCCACCCAAGTGCGTCAGGGGGGAACCCCAGGAAGACGCAAGGAGCAGCACGAGGGGACAGCTTGTCCGCAGACAAGTCGCGGACAAACGCACGAGATCCCCAAACCCGGAACGCCGACGCATCGCCAACCTTCCCCGTCCACAGCAAGGTTGGGGAGGTCTCCGGCCTGGAGACCCTGGGGTGAAGGTTGATCTGATGCGCCGCGTACCTGACCGCAAACGGCCACAGAAAATGGGGGGCAGCCGCATGCATCATAGATGTACGAGCGACGTCCATGACCATGCCAATGCGGCGCTCAGGAATCCCATTTTGCTGCGGAGAGTCCGGAAGTGTGAAGGTCTGACGGATGCCCCGTGCGCGACAGTAGGCTCGCAGAAGGCCAGAGGAGAACTCTCCGCCTCTGTCCGAGTGCAGACGCAGAACAGGAAAGTCCGAGCCAAAGCTCTGCCTGAGCTGGAGACGAGCTGCGCGGATCCAGTCGATCAGCACCTCAGTGTCATCACCCTTGCTGCGCAAGGGGAAGACTGCGGAGTAACGCGAGTAGTCGTCAACAACTAGCAGGAAGTAGCGCTCGTGACCCTGTCCACAGACGCGGGCTGGGCCCCACACATCCATGTGAAGCGTCTGCAACGGGGCCTCTGTCGGAGGAAACTGGAAGGAGTGAGGGGCAGCACGCTGGCGCCCCTCGACACAGGGGGACACAGGTAGGGCCAGGGCCCTGAGGAAGGGGAGGGAGGGACCGGGGGAGACCAGAAACAAGAAGACGAGAGGCCATGCCTCTGAGCCGAAGCAGAGAGGGGTGACCAAGGCGGTGGTGCCAGAGGAGAGTCCCGTGAGACAGGAGACGACACGAACAGGGGGCAGACTCAGGACCAGACCTGGACGCTGCAGCAAACACCTGACCCGACGCAGGCTACCCTACCAGGCTCAGCAACTGGAGGAGACGCAGTGGTCAGTGTGTACAGGCTCGACCCCGGCCGATGAGTAAACGTGGCCAGGTGTCGGCCTGTCCGAGCGTCTGTGCAGTGGGTCACCCGCTGACTCGCAGGAGTGAACCGGTGAACCCCCGCATCCTGCAGGTCAGCACCACTCACCAAGTTCGTAGAGAACGAGGGGAGGTAAAGACCAGACAGGGTGCCAGAGGGGGCCGCCGAACACGGGAGGACAGTGGAGAAGTGAGCAAGGACAGGGCCCCCAGAGGGGTCTGCTAGAGAGACTGCAACTGGCCGACCAAGCGGCGTGAGTGTGGTGCAGTCTCGAAAGAAGGAGCGGGAAGCCCCCGAGTCAAGGGTGAAGGTGTGAGAGGCCAGAGCCGACGCGGTACCCGAGAGAGCAGACTCACCCGCACCTGAGGAAGCAGACTCACTAGCACCTTCAGCAGCAGCCGCACCTGTACCTGGAGCAGGAGACACACTAGCACCCAGAGCAGCAGCCGCACCAGCAGCTAGAGCAGCAGGATCTATACCCGGGTCAGGCGGTACGCACAGGTGACCGGCACGGTCAGCACTAGTAGGCAATGCATACATGGCCGTGAGAATAGCATCATAGTCAAGAGCAAATATATCTACCCTCTGCCTAAGCAACTCCACCCAGTCGGGGAGCTCAGCCTCGTCGCCAAACGCAGTACGCCAGGCGTCGCTCAGACGGGCAAAGCAGCGGGACGGTGTGTGACTAGGCGTCCCACAAGGCTGACCAGTCCGAGCACCAGTGCGAATCACGTAAGAGCAGCGAACAGAACTGAGAGACCCTCCACTCTGAGCATACCACTCACGAAGCTGCCGGGGCGTGAGAGACGCGCGTGGGCGTCGTTGGAGCTGCATCTGGCCTCCGCCAGTAGAAGCAGGAGCAGGAGTAGCAGCAGTAAGGCAGGCAGCCAAGCAAGTAGTAGGCAGCGCGCTAGTAAGGCAGGGGCTCACCAGTGGTGGGAAGAGGAGGCTCGACGACTCGGCGATTCGGCGACTTGGCGGCACGGCGGCACTGCAGCAACTGCGGCTCGGCGGCTCGGGCGACTCGGGCGGCTCGGCTGCTCGGCGCGACTCGGGCGGCTCGGCGGCTTTGGCGCTCGGCGGTACGGCTGCTCGGGCAGCAACTGCAGCTCGGCGGCTCGGCGACCCGGCGGCTCGGGCAGCTGAGGTGGCGCTGCGGCTCGGGCGGCTTCGGGCGGCTCGGGTGGCTCGGGCGGCTCGGGCGGCTCGGGCGGCTCGGGCGGCTCGGAGGCTCGGGCGGCTCGGGTGACTCGGCACTAGCTCGGCGGCGCCGGCGGCTCGGTGGTGACGGCGGGGCCGCCTGGGGACGGCGGCGGGGTGGGGTGGAGCGGCGACGGGGCCAGCAGAGGCGGCGCCGGGGCCGGCACAGGTGGAGCAGGGGCGCAGGGGCAGGCGACGGGCCAGCAGAGGCAGGGCCGGGTCGGTGCAGGGCTGCGGGGCCGCAAGGGAGGTGGCGGGGCCGCGGTGTAGAATGGCGGTAGGGGCCGCGACGAAGGGCGGCAGGGGCCGCGACGAAGGGCGGCAGGGGTCGCGACGAAGGGCAGGGCCGCGACGAGAGTGGTGGGGCCGCGACGAAAGAGGCGGGGTCGCGCGCCTCGGGGCGGGGCCGCGACGTAGGGCGGGGCCGCGACGTAGGGCGGGTTCGCGACGTAGGGCGGGGCCGCGACAAGGGGCGGGGCCGCGACGAAAGAGGCAGGGTCGCAGCGCCTCGGGGCGCGCGCCAGAAAGAAAATCGCCGCGCGCCAAATAGGTCGCACGCCGCGGGGGCGTGCGACAGATCGAGTAGCAGCGGAAGCAGTAGTAGGGCCTTAGGAACAGTTCCCACGAGGGAACCTGCTCGATACCATGAGAGAATTGAAACGAGAATGAATCAACTATGAAATGAGTGAGTACAAGTAGTAACCCTAATTGGGTTGTACCCCCTATGGGATACCCCACTATAGCCTACACAAATGTATAAGCTATATAGCATTCTGACAGTAGGGCGACAGATTGGCAGGTACAGTTGGACATTTTTCATTGGCTGCGATCAAAGAGAATTGTACAGTTGTGTGCTTTGATTGGGTAACAGTACACCCGTTTTTTTCAACCTCCGTGCAGGGGCGTGGTTTCGATGCGCGGGATTTTTTCCCCCCTCGAAATCGGCATTTTCAGGTGTCCAGGTGCATGTGGTCGTGTCGGGCATTTCGAGTCGAGTACGATTTTTAAACAATGACGGTCGTTTCGCAATTCGTCAGCGACGTCAGCGGCATTTCATGCTGACCAATAAAAAATACAGTAGAAGTCGCTGCAAATCGACTCGCATTTGGGACACAATACAGTTTATGTTGTTTTTAGGTGTACCAAAGTGATTGAGACAGAAGTGTCCCGACAGGAATGTTCCCTAACTGAAAAATACTAGCTTTTTGTATTTCTCACTTAGTGGGTTCAGTGAAGGGTGGGTCCGTGGGACTGCGAAATACGAAAGCTGCGAAAACGTACTACCACCTGCGAAAGCTGGATGTAGTGTGGGTCGCCAAATGAGCAGTGTTACCAGAATCTTGACCAACCAATAAGGAACGCATTCAGAAAACCACGACGTTGCGAAGCTCCAATAATTGTTTCGCCTCACCGCGAAACTACTCGCTGGAGGAAACCCGAAACTGACAGAGCGATGTGTGGTTTGCAGCAGAAACTCACAATTATGGTCACCACGAACAATTCTCGTTGAACCCTCACGCTCGTGACGAACGTCGTTACACCTTGTTTCGTTGTCGTCGCCACGCAGTCAGTTCGCCAAGAGAACAAAATAATTGTCACAGCCCCAATCTCGGATCGCTTCGCGATGGCGACTCGAGCCAAGCCCCAACTCCCAATTCTTTCCTACCACTCGTTCACCTATATTTATCTCCTGCTTCTGCACCTACTCTCATCAATATCGACTTATGCCCAGCGCCGAGAATCTGATATTCAAGCCTCCACGTTTCAAGTCTGGTCTTTAATTTTGAGCTGTTCCTAGTCACAAATAAAGAGCTCAGCTAGCCCTCAGCGAATCTTTCTTTCTCCCTACACTCCGATGGCTCTCGTTTCTAAAGTCGGTGGCCTGCTGTGCGTGGGAATTCTCCTGCTAGCTCTCGCCCTCAATCCTGCCGACGCCGTATCTGCCAGATCAGAAGACCTTAACAAAGGCGCCTCGTGCTACCCTGAGTTGAAGAATTTCGGCGACAATCCCTATTTCGACAAGGGCATGGTTGCTGAGATTCCCGTGAGCAAGTTCGACGCCGGGAAGGCCTGCGGAACGTGTTACCAGGTTACCTGCAAGAACAGCAAGAGGTGCAACAAGGGAGCTAGCGTGACGGTGCGCGCGATGAACAACGACGGCGACGGCTTCACGCTCAACAACCCCGCGTGGGACAAAATCGTCCGCGACCGATCCGGCAGCGTGGAGGTCGAGTACCGCAGCGTGGACTGCCCGACCAACGGCCGCGGCATGGCGGTCATGATCGAGAGGAGCAGCGGCCCGTACTACTTCGCACTTTACGTTCTGGGCGCGGCGAGGAACGCGGCGGTGGGGAAGGTGGAGCTGTCGACGGACGGCAACAAGTGGACGGGCATGACGAGGGGCGGGTGGGGCGCGCGGTGGGAGCTGCCCTCCGCCAAGGACGTCGTGGGCGCGGGGCGCAAGGTGAGCGTGCGCGTGACGGCGGCGGTCACCCAGCAGCAGGTGGTGCTGCAAGACGTGATTCCGAGCAAGTGGAGCGCCGGGAAGACGTACGAGAGCAGCTCCAACTTCTGAACGGCGTAGGAGTGCTGCGACGGGAGACAGAGAGTGCTTCCAACGAATGAATGCAGCTCCAACTTCTAGATGGTGTGTCGCATGAGAGCTCGAGCTCTTCCAAATAAATGCAAATAATTGCTCAGCCGGCTAGCCGTGTCGATGCAGAGGACTGGCATGAGGATGCATGCTCTTAGGATGATAGTAATAATTGATCAATCCGCTCGCCTTTGTAGGAGCACCTACAGCTGCGTGGTTTGTTTGAACCAGCATACTTGACAAAAACAAAAAAAACCTTTCCACTTCAACAGCCAGACAGTTGTGATTGATGCTGAATACCGTAATACCCCGGATTAAAGACCCGGGGGAATTATAAGAATCCCACCCCAAAAATGAGGGGTATTACCCAGTTGGCTATCTTTTATAAGACCCAGGTCTTATCATATGGTCATGTATAAGGGCGCATTCCTGCAGGGACACTTGTGTCTCAATCCCCGTTTTCCCGAGTCGCGTCTGTAAATTTGCCAAATGTTGTGTCACAAACAACCAATGTATCGCGACTCTAGGCGACCCAGCGAAATGTACAGTTGTGCGCATTTGATTGGGTGACACAAATGACTGTACATCCCTGTCTTCAACCGCTTGGCTGGGGTGTGGTTTCGACGCGCGGGGATTTTTTCCCGCACGAAATTGGCACTGCATTGCTGTCCAGGTGCATTGACATTTCGAGCCGCGTGCGAATTTTTCACATTGACGAGTCGGATTACAATTCGTCAGCGACGTCAGCGCGCTTCACGCTGACCAATAAAAAAATAAAGTTCTGGTCGCGGAAAAGCGACTCGCAATTGGGACACACTACAGTTTCTGCTGTTTTTGTGTGTCACAAAGCGATGAGACATTTGTGTGCCCACAGGTTTTAACCCTAATACTTGGAACCCAGACATGCGAACAGTATGTGCTCCATTTTTAGCAGGTGTGACAGGGATATGACGGGGATATGACATGCGATATGATGGGAAGGAGGTAGAAGAATGGGTTGCTGGACAGGATGATGAATAGATGTGCTTTTGTGACTCACTGTTACCCCTCTTTAGTGAACGTGTAATGGGATTTGGTGTAGAAAAGGGTTGAAATCTACCAGAATTTCATTCTTTGCCTATAAACTGACCTCGTCTCTAGGGGGGAGGGGGGGGTCTAATAATGTTAACCCCCCAAAAGGGGGGTATAACTACAAACGACCGATTTAGCGTACCCCCCTCCGTATTATAGACCCGGGGGTCTACAACTGGAGGGGGTCTTATATCCGGGGTATTACGGTAGTAACCTACACACAGTACCATAGTACCGGTACTGGTACATCAAGGGAGAAGACTGTGGCAAGATAAGCAGAGGTCTGTACCTGGCTGACCAACTCCTTGCCTAACAGGCCAAACACCCCCACGTCCCCACCCCCCTTCTCTTTTCTCAAACCACGACATTTGCTGCCATGCACATCCCAGCCTGCATCGCCAGCCCCTCCATCTCCCCACCGCCCTCTCCCATTTCTCCTTCACCTGCCATTTCCACCTCTCCACCCATCACTCCCTCCTCCTCCTCCTCCTCCTCCTCCTCCTCCTCCTCCTCCTCCTCCTCCTCCTCCTCCTCCTCCTCCTCCTCCTCCTCCTCCTCCTCCTCCTCCTCCTCCTCCTCCTCCTCCTCCTCCTCCTCCTCCTCCTCCACCCACTCGTCCAGAGGACCCCTTGCATCCACCCCTTCCCATGCCTCCATTCCCGCTATAAGCAGCCTCTGTGCCTCCTCGCGGGCGGCGTCAACGCCCTCTTTGTCTCCAGCCTCTTCCGTCCTCTGGCACAACACATTGCTTTTGCTGTCTGCACCTGCAGCACTGCCTGTCACACTGTGAACTGAGGTCCCTATCACGTGCACCACAGCACCTATTGCTGCAGTCGTTGGCAGCAACTGCAGGGGTCACTGTAGCACCATCTGCTGCACTCTCACTCGGCCTCTGCAACAGCAGTCCTTGGTGCTTACAGGCACCTCCTGTGCTCCCCAATGCACCCCTGCTTTCCAGTATTCTTGCCTGCAGCATCACATTCTTGTTCTTTCCCTTCCTGCCTCCCATCAACCTTCTTCTGCCCTTGCTGCTGCGTCTGCTCGCGCCTTGTCTTTTCTGCTGGTGTTGCCGCACAAGGGCCTGCAAGGGAAGGTCCGTCATCAGAATCCTCCTCTTTCACTGCACCCTGCTGCTGCTGTTTTTGCGCTTGCTGCTGCTGCTGCTGCTGCTGCTGCTGCTGCTGCTGCTGCGGGTTTTGCGCTTGCTGTTGCCGCTGCTGCTTCTCATGCTGCAGCGAGTGTCCGAGCAAGATCACAGTCAATCTGCTGCAGTGGGGCAGCCATAGGAGTGACTCCAGCTGCTACAGCAGTTTCCGGGAACTTCTGAGTTGACGGCATCACGGCAGCCCCAACAGACCCTCTGCTCGCATCAAACACCCCGTGCCCATCGGCCTGCAGACCATTGTGCAGGACCACTTTTGAGAGCATGAGTGTGCTGTGAGGCACGCTGCTGGCAGTAGCGGTGCAGGCGGGAGCACCGCCCTGCTGCCGCCCCCTCCCTCAGCCGCAGGGCAATGCGCCTCTTCCACTCCTCTATGCTCTGCACCCACCCTGCTGCCTCCACTCTGCTCGCAGGCTCGGGCTCGGAATTGAGCCTGGCAGGTTCGGAATCAGGCTTGTGCTGCGGTGGCTGGCAACTAGGCTCGGCAGGGTGGTGAGTCAGTCGTTCAGACCCTCCTTCTTTCCTGTCAGCTTCGTTTCCATCTGCTTCCGACTTTTGTTGCTGCTGCTGTCTCTGCTCGTATTGACGGAGCTGTCTTTCCAGCTCTGCCTGCTCCTCACTCTCCCCTGCGCATTCTCCTCTACCTCCCACCTCCTCATCCCCTCCTTTCCTCTCCTCACTGCTCTCTATTCTCCCTCTCCTCCCTTCTCCTCCTCTCCCGCTCCCTCTCTGCCTCCTCTGCTGCAGCCAGCACAGGATGGCACGCCTCTTCCCTCTCCACCACTGCAAACCGCACTCCCGCTTCCTCCACCCCTTTTTCTTCCCTCCCTTCCCCTCTCCCTCTCCCCTCCCTATCCCCGTCTCCCCCCTTCTCACCCTCTCGCCCCTCCTCCGAGCTCCGTTGCCCCACGCCAGGGAAGGAGTAGTCCGTGGCGGGAGGCGGTGGCAGAAGTTGAGGAGCTCGCCGATATGCCCGTGCCCCGCACCCACCCGTACCGCTCAACCGCCACCGCCTCCTCCTCCGATAGGTCCACTCCCACTGGCGGGAAGAAAGGAAGAGACGCTTTTATCATTCTCAAAAGTGGCAGAAAGGAAGAGGGAAGTGAGGGGAGGTATGGGACTGCGGAGGCACACGAGGTGGGCTGGAATGGATGGCATGCAGGAGAAGGTGGTGAGGGCAGGGCATGTTTGACATTGCGCTTCTGCGTGTTTGTGGCCTACGTGGATCACAATGACCCCTTTGAGAGACCAGTACTGCACTGAATGGTAACAAAAAAACTCATATATATATATATATATTAAATAAAATAAGTACTCGATTGTCAGAGTAGACTTTAGAGTCGCCGAGAAAGAGTGGACCAGCAATTTGAGAGGTGTGGACCTCAAGAGGCAGGTTGGTGATGGACGTCGATGCGCGACACAGAGGCGGCGCCAAAGACAGCGAGCAGGCGCTGCAGCTGCCAGCGCACCGCCACCCCCGCTTCCAGCTCAAAGAAGTAGGTCGCCTTGCCGTACTCTGGCGCCTCCAATATGATCCTGGCAGGTAACGGTGTGGTGGGAGGTGCAGCGGTGTGGTGGGAGGTGTGCAGCAATGTGGATTATAGGACCTCGTTTAAGTCTAATCAAAGAAGTAGGTCGCCTTGCCGTACTTCGGCGCCCTCCAGTATGATCCTGGCAGGCAGCCATGTGGTGGGTGGGGGGTGCAGTGGCACAGTGGGGGTGCAGTGGCACAGTGGGGGGTTGCAGTGGCACAGTGGGGGGTGCAGTGGCCACAGTGGGGGGTGCAGCGGTATGAAGTAGGTGCAGCGGTGTGGCTGTTGAGTCGATTCAGAAAGTCACCACCCCTCCAGCTCAAAGAAGTAGATGGCCTTGCCGGCCGTACGTACTCTGGCGCCTCCAATATCATCCTGCCGGGCAACAGGTCCAGGGGAGATGTGCAGGGAGGGAGGATGGTCAGGCTTGGGAGGGCTGGTTGAAGTGGGTTGTTCTGCCATACTCTGGTTCCCTCCAATATGATCCTTCCGGGCAGCCGTGTGGTTGGGGGTATAGGGGGGGCAGTGGGGCCAGGAATTGGGGTCCAGGGAGGAGAGGAGGTTGCGAAGGCAGATGATTTCTGAGTCGGATGAATCAGGTTGTAAGGCAGGCGAGAGGTTGGATAGGCTTGGGTGTGAAGAGTGGAGAGAAGGCAGTAGGACTGGAGGCCCCTTACCTGTTGTGGCGGTGTGACGTGTCATCTCACCTGTTGTGGCTTTGTCATTCCACTCACCTGTTGTGGTCTGGGAAGACAAAGAGGAAGCAGCGGATGGCCCCACACCAGCCCCACGACACCTGCCACCCCGCCTGCTGCACCGCGTGCGCCTGAGCGGAGAGAGATAGGGGTGGCAGGGGGTGGTGAAAAGGACGGGTGGGGAGAGGGTTGGTAGAGGGGTGAGGGAGGAGGGGGAGAGACGGACAAGAATAGCATGACGGAACACTGCCTTGATACTTGTACTATCTATCCAGTATCGCACTCTGCAAGGTGAAACCCAAGGCAGAAGCCAAGGAGCAGAGCACAGCCAGCAGCACGCACGTGCGTGATGAGCGAGCGCAACGAGGTTCTCCACACAGTACGCCGGGAGATTCCATGCTCCTGCTGCTGGCTGCTGAGTCGGCTCACAAGGCAGTAGCACTAGCGTGCACCTGCGTGATGAGGGCAACAAGTTCTCCACAAAGTACGCTGGCCGATTCCATGCTGCTGCTGCTGGCTGCTGAGTCGGCTCACAAGGCAGTAGCACACACACACCGGCGTGATGAGGGCAACGAGGTTCTCCACGCAGTACGCCGGGCGATTCCACCCTGCGGCTCCACCCTTCGCCCTTCCTTTTTGAGTCGACTCAAACAGCAGGCAGGCAGCAGCACACACCTGAGCAAGCAGTAGCACACACGCACCTGCGTGATGAGGGCAACAAGGTTCTCCACGCAGTACACTGGCAGATTCCACCCTGCTGCTGACTGCTGAGTCGACTCACAAGGCAGTAAGTAGCACACACGCACATGGGTGATGAGAGCGACGAGGTTTCTCCACGCAGTACGCTGGCCGATTCCATGCTCCTGCTCCGCCCCCTACCCTCGCCACCTGCCTGGCAGGCGCTCCCACGTGTGCGAGTAGAGCTGGGGGCGGTGGGGCAGGGGAGAGAATGGGGGGATTTGGGAGGGCTTTTGAGGCGTCTCGAAAGGCATCTGCCCTGCCATGGCAGGCGCTCCCACGTGTGTTGAGCTTTGAGGTGGTGGAGGGGTTGCTGGGATATGGGCCGGAAGTTGGAGGGTAGAGACGGAAAGTGGGGTGAAGCAATTGAATGAGAGAGAGCGGCAGAGACAAGAGGGTTGGATCACATCAGGAGTGTCCTCGCTGGGAACAAGTGGCATTCCTCACACTATGCTCCAGGGCAAATGTGCAATTGTAGATGTCCGCTCTATACACGCACTCCGATGGTCCATTGATTTAGGCGCCTCAGGCAAGATGCACATGTAAGCCGCCCCCCACGCGTGCAGCAGGGAGAGCAGAGTGGCCTAAGGAAGATAATTGGTGGGTCCAAGGAGCCACTGTGAGGGAAAAAAAATAAAAAAAAATAGCACACACACACACACACACACACACACACACACACACACACACACACACACACACACACACACAACACACAAACAAACAAACAATAACAAAAAAACAAACAATAACAAAAAACAAGTTGTGGGTTGGGAGAGCAGAGAGTACCCGGGACAGAATCCTCTGCAGGGTCGGAGAAGTCAGAGGGCACTGCCACCTGGCGCTGATGCTGCTTCTCCTGCTCCTGATCCTCCTCCTGCTGCTGCTGCTTCTGCTTGAGGCATTGCCACAGCATCACCAGAGTGCGTGCACTCAAGCTCTGTCCAAACGCCAGGCCCAGCACCCACCCCTCCTCATCCCACTCCATCTTACACCTTGCCTGCCCCTCGCCATCCACCCTATCCACCCCATCCACCCCATCTCCCCCCTCTGCTCCCGCCATCCCGTTGCCACAGCTGACATCAGTCCCACCGACCCCGTCCCCCAGCTCGCCCCTCTGAGAGGGGAGGAGACCCAGCGTGGGGGGCCGTGTGCTGGCTGCCTCCTCACTGCTGCCGGTTGCTGCTGCTTCTGCTGCTGCTGCTTCTGGTGGTCCTGCTGTTCTGCTGAGCGCATGAAGGCGAGGTCGAAGAGCTGGATGCCGCGCAGCAGCCCCTCTGCTGCAGCACCTGCCAGCAGCCCCGGTGCGTCTGACTCCAGCGCTTCCGCTGCTGTGCCGTGGCTGATTGGTGGGGGTAGAGGGAGGCAAGAGGAGAGGAGAAAGGAGGTGAGAGGGGGGCAGGGGAGGATGGGGCCGGGCGGGGAGAGAAAGGGAACAGGTGGAGACGGTGCTGTTTCGAGGAACACAGAGAGGAGATGGTGTTGTTGGGTTGAGCAGGTGAGTTGATGCTGCTGGCTGCGATTGGCTATCTAGGAAGACGACAGGTGCAAGTGCACACGAGGAGAGGCAGAAGGGGAAAAGAAGAAGTGGGGAGTGCAGAAGAGAGGAGAGAGAAGTGGCAGAGCTATGAATTTGCAGAGGAGAGAGAGAGGAGGAGGAGGGGAGAGCAGAAGAGCGGAGGCAGAGAAGGGGGCATCACACACACAGCTCACACGCCTCACAAGACATTGCGGGTTGGTGTGCTCACCTCTTTGCCTCCTTGGCCTCGCTCGTCCCTGCTTCCGCTGCTGCTGCCTTGGGCAGCTGCCTTCCTCTTTCTCTTCTGCTTCCTTCTCCACGCTGCCCCTTCCCCTGTCCCTGTTCCTGCCCTGCCCCTGCCCTGCCCCTGCCCCTGCACCCTGCCCCTGCCCCTGATCCTGCTTCTGTTCGTCATAGCCCCCTTGTCCTTCATCCATCGCACCTCCCAATCCTTGCCTTGTTCCCGCCACACCTCCCACCACACCATCCCACGTCCAGCCCTCACGGCCTCCTCCCCTGCATCTCTGCATCTCCACCCACTGCCTCCATTTTTCACTGCCACCCTGCACTCTTGCGCGCCCGTCCCCACACCTGCTGCCACGTCTGCACCTGCCTCTGCTGCTGCTGCCTGTGCTGTGCCTGCTTCTACAGTCACCACTGCTTCGACCTTCACTTGTGCTCCCGTTGTTGCTGCTGCTGGTCCAGAGGCTCCTGGCTCAGCAGCAGCACTATAGTTCAGCAGCATGCTCCCAGTATCACCATCACCCTGCACGCCCATTCCCAACCCTTCCCACTCCTCCTCCTCCTGCTTCGGCCTCCTCTGACCCCCCCCAACTTGGTGCCCTCCCGCCTGCCCACATGACTCCGCCCTTGCTCCTTCCCCCTCTCCGCGTCCCTCGCACGGCCAACTGGCAACACTGATGCTGCAGGAAGGGGAGCTGGCAGCGCAAGGGGGGAATTATCAGCAGCGCCAGGAGCAGGAGGGGAGCGTCAGGAGCAGGAGGAGGAGGGCCGGGAGCATGACCCCCGTGAACACCTCGCCTTGCCCGCTTGCGCTTGCACGACCCCAGTTGAGTCCACACGTGAGCAGCTGCTCCTGCCTCTGCCTCTTCGCCTTGGCCCTCCTCTTCTTCCTCCCATTCTCCCCTGGCCTTCCCGCGTCCGCACCCCCCTCCCACCCATCCTCGCCCTGCTGCTCCCCTTCTGCTGCTCCTCACCCCTCCCCTGAGCCAAACTACTCTCCCCCATGCCCCATCCTGACCTCCCCTGTGCACACGAACCATACCCCCTTGCCCATCCCTCCTCGCTCCCTTCCCTGCCCCACTGATTCTCCCCACCTCCTCGCCCCCATCCACTCTCGCTCGCTCCTCCTGTCATCCCCCTCCCCATCCACTCCCCATCCTCCTCCTCCTTCCGCTCTCCATCTTTTTCTCTCACCTCCTAATTCCTCCTCTTGTTCGCTTCCCCATGCACCTTCCCCTCCCCCACCCCATCCCTCCTCAAATCTTTCTCTCAACTCGGCCTTCTCTCCCTCCGCCCATCTCTCCTCTTTCACTCTGTTCGATACTCCCTTTCCCAATCCCCATTCTCCCCCTTCCCTTCCTTCCCTGTCCAATCCTTGTCCAGTTCCCCAAACCTCTGCTCCCCCTTGTCCCCATGACCCAACCCCCCCTCTCCCCCTGTTCCCCTCTCGCAACACCTCTTCCTCTCCCTGCTGCTCCCCCTCGCCTCCTCCCTCAGCCTCCTCTCTCACGTTCACAAAAACCCGTGCCTCGTTTCCGTCCCTCCCCTCTCCCTCCATCGCCCCCTCTTTAGACCCCTTCTCTTGCACCGCTCCTCCACCCCCCGTCACAGCCCTATCCTGACCTCCTAACCTCATCTCTTCCTCTATTTCTTTCTCTGCCTCTGCGGCCCCCCTGGGGCCTCCCACACCCTCATTGCCATCCCTCACTGCATCCCTCCCTCCTCCTGCGTCTGACTCCATGCCAACCTCCTCAACCTTTTGCTGCTCCTCGTCTCTTTCCTCCGCAGCACCACCTGCATCATCTTCCCCCTCCATTTCTGTCCCTTTTTTTCCCACCTGCTGCTCCCCTTTCCCAGCCAACCCTCGCCTCTCCTCCACCTTTTCCCCCTCCCTTCCCGACTTCCCCTCTCTTGCCCCCCATCTCTGCTCTCGCCCCTCCCTCCCCGCCCCCCTCCAAGCCAGCAGCACTGGCAGCACCAGCAGCACCAGCAGCATCAGCAGCACCAGTACCACCAGCAGCACCAGTACCACCAGCAGCACCAGCAGCACCAGCAGCACCAGCAACACCAGCAGCACTGGTAGCAGCAAAAGCACCGTCAGCATCATCTAAGCTCAAATCACCACTCCCTGCACCCACATCCCTGTCCCCTCCACTGCCTCCCCCCTCTTGCAGTCCCACAAGCCCCTCACTGCTCTTCGGCCTTCCCACATCCGATGCCCCATCACCTCCTTCCCCTTCCCCTTTCCTTCCAGTCGAGCCAGCAGCCACAGGCGCACCTACAACCGTTACTTCGCCCCCTTGTTCCTTCTCTTGTTGCAATCCCTGTCCCCCCTGCCCCTGCCCCTGCCCCTGCCCCTGCCCCTGCCCTTGCCCCTGGCACTACCCCTGCCCCTGCCCCTGCCCCTGCCCCTGCACTTCCCCCTGCCCCTGCCCCTGCCCCTGCCCCTGCCCCTGCCCCTGCCCCTGCCCCTGCCTGCCCCTGCCCCTGCCTGCCCCTGCCCTGCTGCCCCTGCCCCTGCCCCTGCCCCTGCCCCTGCCCCTGCGCCCGCCCCCTTGTGCCGCAGTCCACCCAATGGTCTGCAGGTGCAGGCGGTGCTGAGCCCAGGCCTGCTGCAGAGCCCTCTCCCGCCCCGCCAGCTCTCCGCTCCACCTCAAACACCTGCCTCTGCTGCGCGCGCACCGCTGCCTGGGTGGTTCCAGTTTCAGAGGTAGGTTGAGCAAGATGAGCAAGATGAGCAAGATGGGTGCAAGGGGTTGAATGCGTCAACTTGTGGATGGGACACATATAGGAGAAGCTCGTTTGGTATGATGATGTGGAAAAACGTGGGGGATAGATACAGGAATTCGTTTGGTATGGCAAACCAATGTGAGTCAATTAAGGTTCATCCTTGTAACGGAAATGTTAGCAGCAACTTATGAATCGACGAGTTGCTGCAGGTGAAGGAGTTATAGATTGGGCCAGGAACTCTGTAGGCAGTCGAAGCTTCTACTACCGACTCAAGGGAAGTGTGCATGGCTGTTCAAGGAAAGCACTTCCAATTGCAAGTGGTGCTTACTCTCATCGATAGGCACGTGTGCATCTTGCCTTGAAATGCCCCCGCAACTGGCCTCTTGCCCCCTCAACCAAGCTCGCATTGCTCACCAGCCTTACCCTTCCTCTGCACATCCCTCACCTGGTTTGCCTGTAGCTGCACATCCCTCACCTGGTTTGCCTGTAGCTGCACATCCCTCACCTGGTTTGCCTGTAGCTGCACATCCCTCACCTGGTTTGCCTGTAGCTGCACATGCCTCACCTGGTTTGCCTGTAGCTGCACATGCCTCACCTGGTTTGCCTGTAGCTGCACATCCCTCACCTGGTTTGCCTGTAGCTGCACATCCCTCACCTGGTTTGCCTGTAGCTGCACATCCCTCACCTGGTTTGCCTGTAGCTGCACATCCCTCACCTGGTTTGCCTGTAGCTGCACATGCCTCACCTGGTTTGCCTGTAGCTGCACATGCCTCACCTGGTTTGCGTGTAGCTGCGCATGCCTCACCTGGTTTGCGTGTAGCTGCACATGCCTCACCTGGTTTGCGTGTAGCTGCTGCTCCCTGCGGCACAGATCAGCCATCTGGGATGGTACGGAGGGACGGGAAGACATGGAAGGGGAGGGGAAGGGACGGGAGGGAGGGAAATGGAGGGAAAGGAGAGCAAAACTATCACCGTGCATGCAAGCCTTTCGCAAGTTGACAAACGACAGAAGAGGTCAGGGACAGCAAGACGGCGACAGTTTGTGGAAAAAGAAACACAGGTGTTTTGGGAACTTTGCTCCCTCCTGCAACATGCCCTGCTCGCCCATATCTTCTCAATATCGGACCGTGCTTTTCTCACGCTCTGTCTCTTGCTCACCTTCGCCTGTGAAGCCACTTTTCCGCCACCAGAAATCGTGGCAGCCACAGCAGCCGTGCCTCTCTGCTTCTGCCACTCCACCTCTTGCGCCCTCACCTTCTCCTCCCGCACCCTCACTTTCTCCTCCCTCTCCTTCACCCTCTCCTCCCTCGCCCTCACTCGCTCCTCCCTCTGCGTCACCCCTTCCTCCCTCTCCTTCACCCTCTCCTCCCTCGCCCTCACTCGCTCCTCCTTCTGCGTCACCCCTTCCTCCCTCTCCCCCGCGGCTGCCTCTCTGGCTGCCACCGCTGCTTGCTGTGCCGCCATGGTGCTGCGAGCAGGGCGGAGAACGGGGTAAAGGACATGGGGGACCACACACACATACATGCGTGCGCGCACGCACACACACGCACACACACACACACACATATGCAGCCTCCATGAGCCGTAGATAAAATAAAGTGCGCTAAGAAGGTCATATTTCCAACAAATCAGATGATGGTTAATGCACACCAGGCCCCATGGAGCGAATTTGTGCATGAACCACCATATCACCTTGAAGTCAAAACGTGTTTGAGGGGCTCCATGCATGGCGACGAGGCTCATGCTATGCCAAGCCACACCACACCAGCCACGGGGCTTACTCAATCTGCTGCGAGGTGACTTTTCAGTCGACTCACAACTCACCACGTCACGCCACACCACACCAGCCAGCAACGGCACTTACTCGATCTGCTGCGCCATGCTGGCCTGCAGCTGCCGCCACTGCCACGCCACGCCCTCCATCACTCCCTCACCACCACTGCCCCCCGCCACCGCGTCTTCACCCCCCATGCCCTCCTCGTTGCACCCCCCGGAGAGCTGCTGTGTGGTGACATGTCATGTGCATGTAGGGACGCGTGGTGTTGGCAGGTGATGGCGGAAGGAACGAACGGGAGTGGTACGGTTGTGACAGAGTAATCGACAGCAACCCGAGGATGCAAGGATGCAATGCGATACTACTGCATATGTTCACAAGTCTCCATCAGGCGACACCATGGTTGCCTGGAATTGAAACAGTGAAGCCAGTCTGTAACCCATGACAAGCGTAGGGCGCCAAGCCTATCCGCGTTATAAGGCCCCAGCGGCACTCGGTCGCAACATTACCTGCCACGGGCACGTTGCTTGGCGAGTTGGCTTCAACAGGGACTAGCACGGCCGCCACAACCCCATCTTCACCGCAGCCTTGCTGCTGCGACGCGTTCTGCGCAGCGCCGCTCGCGGAATCCTCCCTCTTCCCATCCTCCGCCTTTCCGTCCGCCTCCCCTTGCTGCGCCTGCTGCTGACACTGCGGCTGCGGCAGCACCTGGCGTTGCTGAGCGGGCTGCTGGTTTCCGCTGTCCCGCCCCGCCCTTTGTTCCTCTTGCCCATCCCT